TTATTTAATTGTTACAGCTTAGTTAAGTGATGTCGAGCGGCGCGGAGGGACGGTCCCGTAGGCAGCACGCTGCGTCAATCGGAGAAAGGCGCAGCTACAAACCAGGCCCACCCCACGGAAAGACGAGGATTCTGCGTTCGTCTCGAGCCTCACGAATAAACCATTAAATAAATTATTTTAAATAGGAGATAAGGGGACACTTCCCTAGGACCTGTCTACCGTGAGGAGTACAGAATAAGCCCACAAGGATGCCGCTTTTCCACGTTAAGGGCTGGTAGAAGAGGCACTTGGAACCAAACCAGCAGCAAAAGCAGCTCTTTAGCTAGTTTAGTTAACCCAAATTTCTTATAGTTTAGAACATTAAATAATGTGTTTATTACCCCTAGTATTTAGAAGTATCTTACAACAGATACAGTCCTTTATTACAATTCCTAAGTGCTAAGACAGAAGGTCCAAGGCTGCCCCTTGGCACGCGAATGACGCAGGGGAGCCCTCTGATTTCGGTCTTAACGTTTGTAGTGAGGAGAGAGAAGGGAAGAAGGGGTCGAGCCTGACCTGGAGAAGTGCTCTAACTGGAAAAGCTCTGCTTTATCCTTTGCTGGTAGTTTATGGCAACGCACTCTCGAGGTAGAAGCTACCGGACATTGTTCTGAGCCGGTGCCGGAGACCGCGGCTCTCTGCGAGAAGGCAAGGGGTGCGTCCGCTCCTTCTCCCTCAGCCCATCTGCAACCTCCCTTCTCTAAGGCGAATGGCTAACGTCTTTGTGGTTGAATATAGTGTTTTTTTTTTTTTTTCCATTTCTTCATCGATTCTGGTGGATTATGCATTTCCTGTCAAGCATTGAGCCTGGAAGGAGCGCTGAAGATCAGAGGCAGCAGAACGAAGGGAAACCCGGCCAACGCCAGATCCTTGATTTCTTCTCGATCCAAGGAGAAACTCGATTCAGTATCACAGTCTGCAAGATGCCTGGGACACTTTGGAATTGGTTCGTCGGTTGAGAGCATTGCAAATAAATGTGCCCGTGTCCATCAGCTTCTGCAGATCCACACCCTTCATGTGAAAAAAGATAGACACGCATTGGTACCGGTTCTGCCACGTAAAGCTGCCCAGTAACAAGTGGCATCAACTGGAAGAGACTAGCAGGGGGTGAGGGAGCCTGAAGGGTACTTTAATGAGGCGCTGAGTGCCTGCTGCTCACTAGCGTGATTCTGATAGCGAGTGTTAAATCACAGAGCGCTGAAAAGGGAGAGGAGGACATGCTCCCAGATGCCGGGGGTGGGATTGGCTTGGCAAGGTCCTTGGGCACAGCCTGGCTGACCTGCACGGCAGAGCCGGGGCAACCCCTGCAGCCGTGCTCAGGCTCTCTCCGGGGCCAAGTTTTGAACCCCCTGCTGAAGCCTGAACAGAGCCATCGTGCGAGAGGCTCAGCTGCTGCAAAGGCCGCTCGTGCTTACCGTGTGGATCCCCAGGCCGTTCAGCATGTACACCAAGTCCTCCGTAGCAACGTTTCCTGAAGCTCCCTGGGCATAGGGGCAGCCTCCAAGGCCAGCGACGGAAGCATCAACCACGCTCACACCCATCTGCAAACAAACCCACTATCGGTAAACTCCTCTTAAAGGACAAACCGTGGTCCTGCTCCTCAAATCTACGGTTCACAAGCAAGTACAATAAAACCTTGAGGAAGGACGCTATCCTGCAAAGCAAGAATCCTACCTGAAGCGCTACCAAGATGTTGGCAAGAGCTTGCCCATAGGTGTCATGGCAGTGAACAGCAAGAGCCCCAACTGGCACCTCTTTCATGACTGCTGTCAGCATCTCCTTCATGCTCCCTGGGGTCCCAATGCCAATGGTGTCACCGAGGGAAATCTCGTAGCATCCCATCGAGTACATCTTCTTTGAGACCTGTCCAAAAGCCAGGATTGCTTACTTGAAAAGGCAGCTTTGTCATTCCCTTCCCCAGAATTGGAGACCTGCTGTACAGAGGAATCGGAGCCTGCTGCCCCGGAGCACAACAGCCATGGGTACAACAGCCAGGAGACTTCTCCCTGAATCCCCCATCCATTTCGGCTAGATCCAGCCTCCCCCTCCCTGTGGCAGGAGCTAGCTGTAATCTTCCCCAGTCTTCCCTCAGTCTTCAGTTAAATAGTTTGACACATCCTCCAGCCCCCAGTGCTCAATTCACATCCATAAAAGGGAGCCAAAAACGTCTCAGAAATTCCAGTTATATTTATGACGAACTCACCTCTGCAACCTTAGCTGCAGAAATCTTCCCTTCATAGGGACATCCAAGGACACAGGAAACATATCTATGGTTAAAAAAAAATACACACTTTTAGCTAGAGAACTGAAGTAAGACTACACTGGCCAAGTTAGTCAGGACTTGTGCAGCATCTTGCGTGCTCTTTACAATGGAAGAATTAATTTCATATTCTAAAAATCAGTCCAGTGGACAAAGCTTACATAATTAATTATTTAACAACTCCTTCTTCCACAGACATGAAAAATTTGCCAAGACAAGAGTACACAGGACTGTTAGGTTTGTGGGTCTACACACTTCCATTCTGGATCATTTGGTAAAGCTGAAGACAGAATAATTACACAAAGGGTGAATCCACCTGGAAGAGTGTAAACTGTCATGAGGGGTACAGGCTTTGCACCAAGCCAGCATCTGAAAGCGTGTCAGTGTGCTAGTGTTTCCAAATTAATGCTTCTCAATGCACTGAGCTCACATCTGCTTGCACCCATCCAGGTAGAAACACACACCCCAGAAAAAAAGTAAAGTTTAAAAGAAATCCCACTCCCCGCTGCTGCACGGGCTGGAGTCTAATGGGATAAATCCAAGCAGTCACATCTCCCCACACGACCTGCTCGATGCTAAGTTCGCAGCAGGAGCTCCTTACCCCCGGACAGGAATGCTGGATGCTCTCGCTGCAGTCATCACTTCATCGAACCTCTCCAAACTCTCCTCTATGGAACAGTTGATGTTCTTCTTAGTGAAGAGTTCAGATGCTGCCCCAAAGATGGACACTTCTTTGGCCCCTGCCGCCACCTGCCAATAGAAGCATAAATTAAAGCGAGCTGATCTCTCTTGCAAGGGAAATGACAAGCACAACCATGACTACAGTTCTCTCGTTTTATAATTTTTTTTTTCCCCCCCAATTCTTTCTCCAATAACCCAATTCCTTCCGCAGTTCATTCCACAACAAAAACATAATGACAAAGCCAAGTTTGTCTTCAAAGTTACAGATGCAGCAGGAAAGCTACATCTGCTGGATGCAGTCAGGAGAGCTGTGGGACATGCAGATAAGACTGAAAGCATCACTGTCAATTAAAATAGATTTTTTTTTTTTTTAATAATAGAAAATGTATCAAGATATTTTCTATTATAAACAACAGGTTTCTATTTCCCCAGCAAAATAATCCCTTGTGAAGGAACTACGAGACCGCTGCCTGCCAGAATGAAAGATGCATTTCCCACCCTGAACCACAGCTGAAATGTCCCTTCCTAGGCAGCCCGGCACGTGGGGCACCGAGAACAAACAGACGCTGCCACCTCTTACCGCTGCTTGAAATCCTTTCAGGTTTGGGGTCAGCACAGGATAACTAATACCGGGTAACTTATTAATTCCTTGCATGACTTCAGTATGGTCAGCCATCTGCAAAGTAAACAAAGAAAGGTTTCTAAGGGTGACAACAGCCACTTCTGCAAATTATAAAGAAATTTTTTTATATTTATTTTTACAAATTGGGACAGCAATATTTAGGGGTAAGAGAAATGGGCCTCTAAAGAGCAAACAGCATTGCACCCTGTGAAGGATCATAGTTCAGTCGCCCAGCCAAGCCAGCGCCAACATGTGCACAGCTGCCTGTTTGTATTTGAGCTGTGCATTTGCTCTTTCGCAGGGTCCAAAGGGAAGGCCTGGGATATTGCAAGCTCTTTTATTTGGCTTTGCTGCTTCTCCCCCAGTTACAAGTCACACTAACAAGGATTTTGGAGCAAGCGGAATTGTTTCATTGGATTACCATCCATTATTAGGTATTTTTATAACACACAATTGTAAATCCCGTTTGAACACTGACCTGAGGGACCCATTTGGGGGAAACAAAGCTGGTGGCCTCTATAACCTGAAGCCCCGTCTCTGACAGCATATTGATTAAACTGATTTTCACCGGTGTCGGTACAACATTCTAAGAAGAAGTAGAAGAAGAAGAAGAAAAGAGAAACGACCTGAAGTTACTATTTTCGCAACAAACTTTTTCACCACTGCAACCCCCCCTCATCTTTCAATATCGAAAAGCGGCATTTTTAAAAAACAGAACAACCCGTGGGAGGGGCACAACGGCACCTTACGGGTATTTGGTTAGTGGGACCCCCGACGAGGTGCTGAGGGCGACGC